CTCTCAACAAAACTTAGACTTCCTAAACATGGACTTTGGGCCTCTGCTGGCTCTTGAAGGAGGCTCAGCATCACTCAGCATCTAAGGCCACATCCTCAGATGTAGGGAGAGACACGTCCGTGCCCAGAGTCCTTGAGCAATATCTCCACCTCAGCTTTCTAAAATTCTGGAAAGCCCTGATTCCCACAATAAGAGCATTCACATAGGTGGTACCAAACACTAGCATCCAAGCAGAAGGAGATGTTTGGTCTTTCACTTACAGGAGAAATAACTAATGATGAAAGTACGAGTCCCCAGTTGTGACTGAATTACAAAATAGCTACTCTTTCTTCTGCCCAGAATAATGCCACCACCACTGGGTATGCTTGATTTCTAAGTTTCCCCAGGAAGCTTTCCCTTCTGCCTCCCAAATGGATTAGCACCACTCCTGGTCCATTCTGAAATTCATTCCTCTTAAGGTTAGTTATCCATTTACATCTTTCTTCTCAGTAAGACTGCAGCCTCCTTGAGGAAGGTCTGTTGAATTCCCACCACAGTCCTTGGAACACAGTTGCATTTTAGCAAATCGTTGAAGGAGTGAATGAGTCAGTGAAGTACCTTTTGGTTGCTGTGAACAGTGCAGCAATGAATGTGCATATCCAAGTCTTTGTGTGGACGTATTTCATTTCTCTTGGAGAGCAAACAGGATCAGGACTGCTGGCATGGCTTTCTAAGGAATTTCATTTTCATTTTGTATGTTCAGGGATCCATGGGTGTATATAAAGAGTGGGAAACATGGACAAGAAGATCCTCAGGACAGTGTAGACCATGGGGACAGACTGGAAGCAGGGAGACTGGTTAGGAAATTGTTGCTTTCTATCTAACATATGGCAGACATTTCCATTTTCATCACTCTCTTTAATGCGGTGGGTTTAGAACACAGAGTAATGCAGAGATCTTGTGTCTGTTTTTCTTGGTGGTCAAATTCTACCCATGTACCATAATATAAAAACATCTTCATTTATGGACCAAGGGGAAATGAAAGGGAACCAGTATTCATTTTTATGATCTAGATATATATTGCTAGAGCTTTTCTCATACTTATAATACTCATAATTATTCTTTTATTGTCTTTCTTTTTTCTTCTTATTTCCTCTTAATGTTTCAACCATGGTATGGCAAGGGAATGGAGAATTTGAAATGCTACTGAAATGCACTTTCATGGTTTTGGAAAAAATTAAAATACTTGCAATGACAGTGGTTATTTTTATACAAAGTTTAATATAGCATGCATAGCTTCCTAATAAACCATTGTTTTTAAAACCATGTTCAACAAAATAACAGTTCATTCCAGTGCCTTCTAGGTCTACTTTGAAAGATTATTAACATGATTTCCATCAACCGAAAATTAAAAGCATGGGATTTCCAAGTTCAAAGAGGTCTTAACACAGCCAGCCCATGCCACTCATTTGTAGATGAGAAAACTGAGGCCCAGACCACCTGGAAGCCTGGTCCCATCACTAACCATGAGAACTCATTGTCTCTGTGGCTTGGCCATGTGCCTCTCCATAATAAGAAGGAAGAGCTCCGTGTTTTTTAGAATTGGGAAAATTGCCTTAGGCTTTTTATACATTTAAAAATAAAAATAGTCATGATAGGGACCAAACTTGAATTTCAAAGAGAAGAGACGTGGGAATGACTAAACTTGAAGATATGTGAAAAGAGATACAGAAGATTTTTAATATTTTGTCTTTTTGACTGAAATATTTTGACATTAAGATACTTAAAATGTATAACTGTTTAACAAGCCTATTATTTTACTGCTGACTATGTTGAACTGCCAATAATTTATTTTTCTTCTTATAGATAAATCTCATGTTAACTTCATAAAATGGGTGACAGATTTGGGAAAACCAGTATCATCCTGTAGTCAGGTGCACGCCAGGCTTTCTTGGTCCCGCTGGTGTTCTGCTGACAGAGACTTCTGCAAAACTGAAATGAGCAATTGAGAGGCATAAGTCAGTGCTGAGATGACAAAACACTAACTTACCACCATGCAGTCACATCTCAGTCAAACATCAATTTGTTTTCCGTATCCTCAGCATATATGCTAACATATAATGACATGCAGCTGAAAACACCCATTATTCACTGTTTTGTCAGTCTCTGCTTTAGCCATTTATATTTTTTTAACAATATGGGTCCTGAGAGCTCAGAGAGGGGGGAAGAAAAAGGTAGAATAAACAAATAAAAGAGCATGACCATTTTTAAAAATGCACAAGGAGTGACATGAAGGAAAGGTGATCAGAGTGTCAGCTTTCTTGCTGATGACAGTGGAATTGAAGAATGGGGCATAGATGAGCAGGAATAATGGGTTGATTAATAATGAACCCCAGAATTAGACATAATTGCCCACTCTAGGCAGCATGGAACAGCCCTAGTTCCCCAACGTGGGGGCCTCCCTGTAAGACTGCCATCAGCTCAACATACTACATGTGCTGTTGGGAGGAAGAGAAAGGGTAGGACAGAACCAAACAAGCTTGTCATCTCCCCCAACCCAGTGAGCAGATAAGTCACACCACCACCCCTAAGGGGAGAGGCAAGAGGCCAAGAGTTTTGGGGGAATGTCCCTCCCTTTGGAAACCATTTGAGTGGGAACTAAGTGTGTCTCTTCCTGTGTGGATGGGAGAGGGGAGGTATTAAGGGACTGACCCTTTTGGTACCCCAGTGGCATACCTATGAAGTTAAATTCACTATGTCTGGGAGGTTGAGACAATAAAAGGAGGTATAGGTAAAGCACCCGGCATGGGGGCACACTGAAAAGAAATTTAAAAAATAAAAAATTTTTTAAAAAAGCACCTGGCATGTGGACTGGCACAGAGCAAATGCTAAAAAAAAAAAAAAAAAAAAAAAAAAAAGTCGTGATTCTATTCAGTCCATTTGGACAAATCCACATTCTCCTTCTTTGCCCTGTTCTGTTTGCCATCTCTAACCAGTTTTGTGATTTGGACAACCAGATGGCTCTGATGTCATCCTCTGGAAGAGGACAGATATGAGAATGATTAGAGTGGTGAGCAGTAGTGCATTCAATTTCCTATCTACTGAGTGTGAGGCATCCGTGTCATAAATCATAGGCCCACGGATTTACGATTTTTGTAATGCAAAAGAACCTTAACTTGTTAATTTATAGCCCCATTTGGAAATTAAACTGTTAAAGCCCTGTACAGGGCTGAAGACTGACCCCAGGGAGCCACAGAGGGCAGGAGCCACAGAGGACCCAGGGAGGAAATGAAGAGGCTAGAGAATAAGGAGGAAAACTAGGAAAGTGGGCAACACAGAAGTCAAGGAGAGCATTCAGTTTGGGAAGAAGGGAGGAGTCAGCTGTGCCAGGTACTGCAGAGGAGTCAGGTAGGATAGGAAGGAAAAGGAATAAATGGGCCTGCAGAGATGGCAGGAGGCATCATTCGTTGTTAGGGAGCACGTAACATAGGGAGCACTGTGCTCTCCTCTCGTGTGCAATATTGACTTAACTCTCAATTTTTACAGATGAGGGAAGTAGGAGTCAGAAAAGTTTAGTAGCAGCCTGGCTGAGGTCACAAATCTTAGAAGTCACAGAGCTGGGACTCAGACCTGTCATCTGACTCTTAACCACTCAGCACCCCTCTTTTCCAGAAGACTTGCTTCTGCCCTGTATTGGGTGAGGAAGCCAGAGCACTGTGAGTTGAGAGGGAGCCAGGAATGAGAGGAAGGTAAGAGAGAATGGCAGGTAGAGGAGGGTAGGCTGAGGTTTGTCTTACTTTAGGACAGCAAAGACCTCAGCATTATTAAATGAAAATAGATGCCCAGAATAGAGCCAGGGAGTGAGGAGACATTCAGGAGGTACAGAAGGCAGAGGACAGGTGTGTGTGTGTGTGTGTATGTGTGTGTGTGTGTGTGTGTGTAGGGGTGGGACCTTAGGAAGGAGAGCCCCTCCTCCTGTGTGACAGGAGAGAACAGAATCAATGGATGGATGGGTTCAGTGTCATAACATTGATGAAGAACATCTCTTCTCATTGTTCTCATTCTCTGTCTCCCCCACTCCATCCCCTGTCCCACCACCAGTCCCCTCCTCTATCTAGAACATCCCACTTACCCTTCCATGCCCTGCTCTTGTCATTCTCCTGAGCCCTCAAGCAGGATGGTTTGCTCTAGGCTTCCAGGGAGCCCACGGCATCCATCCACCCCACGGGCACTGCCAGGTGGGCCCCAGCAGGACCCCCCCCACCACTGGAGTGAATTCATGCTCAATGAGCATGAACCAATTCAGCTTGTGCCTACAACATGGTGCCCCTCTGTAGGAGCTTAGGTTTTTGGAAAAGGACTAAGTTGCACAAATGATTATAATACATGTCCCATGAGAGAAGCCCGTGAAAGAAATATGCAGAGTAATGCAGACTTCAGTCCAGAGGGGGAATGCAGTGAGGAAGGCAGAAGGGTTTTGAGTTAGTTGTTGAAGGGTGAACATATTTACAACCAACAAAGGAATAGGCCATTTTACTTAGAGAAAGTAGGATCAGAAATGGCACAGAGCTTATTTGAGGAACACGGGATGGTCATGTTTGGCTGAAGGATGGAATATAGCTGGAGTGGTAAGCCCATGATGCAGCAGGAGGACCGTCAGTGCTAGACTGTGAAATTCTGTTCTCCGCACTCTTGCGGACTTAGCCAAGAAATCGATCCTAAGAGTTTATAAATCACACCTACCATTTTCCTCCCAGAAACTAGGCCAGTATCCCTCTGAGTTTCAGGATACCAGAACCCACCCAGGCTCCTCGGAACACCCTGAGCATATAAGTAAGGGCTGTGTTATCTCGCTTGGCAGCTTGCTGCCTGTGTCCTCCCGGGGATGGGGGGTGGAAAGAGGTAAGCCGGGAGTGTGTTTGCTCCTGCAAGGAGAGTTTTCTCGTTACTTGTACATCACTATTCTTAAGAGCTATTTCTAGACAAAGAAATACAAAATATAAACCTCTTTTTTCTTTCAGTTAAGAAAAAGAAGCCTAAACTATTAAATAAATTTGATAAGACTATTAAAGCTGAACTTGATGCTGCAGAAAAACTTCGTAAAAGGGTATGTTGATGTTTTCGTTTGGCACAGAAATGTGCAATGGGTCAGTTGTTCAATAAATTCAGGCGTCACTGTTGAATTGTTACAAAATAATAAGAGAAGCAGCCCTTGACTGGAGTAGATTTTTTTTTTCCCAAGCACATCAGCATTCCAGTGAAATGAATCAAGTGAAAGGGAAAATTTGCCCCTGTATGGCCAAACAGAAGTAGAACTAAGGGTTAGGCTGGTGGACGTGGGGTCAGCCTACCACCTCCCCTCCGCCAGGTGTGTGGCTTTGGACAAAATACTTGGCCATTCTGAGCCTCAGTTTTCTCATTTAAAAAATTAGAATAGAAAGTGATCTTCCTGCTTGGTTTTTGTGAAAATCAGATGAGATTTTTTTTTTTTCTTAAAGCATCGACTGTGTCAAATGCCACACAGGTGAACATTTTTAACTGTCTAGCACCTCAATGCAAAAAGAAAAAAATTAGTCCAGGACGCTTAGGGTAGTTACTGATAGGTGAAATGACATTGGGTTTAGCATTCTTCTCACTAGGTATTAACCTCATGAACCTGCAGTTTTCAGGCTGACTATTATATGGTTTGTGTTGTTCTCAGTTAATTTGAAATATGACCTGCATGTGTTTCTAGATATTGCAGCTAAAAAAAATAACTTGACACTAGATTGAAGTTCTTGTTCTCTGACTCAGTCATATTCATCGTCTAATTATCAGGTCCAACATTTATAATAATACATTTAATAACACCTTCACTGAATCATCTGCTCGTTTGTCATGGAAATTTCTCTTTCTCTACTCTGAATTGGAAATTAGACTTGGTGTCATGATCATTAGTTTTCCCGTAATATGCTTTTTCATCCAGTAGACCTTGGCTGCAAAGAAGGGACAGGGTATTGTAAGTAAATAAGCAACAACAAAAGGATACAAGTCAGGAACTGAGGTGGGACAAGAATATGCTTCCCAAGTATTTTTTGGAAACATACCAGGAAGCACGGAGACCTCTGTGACTAGTGTTAGACAAGGTTCCCAGGCCAAGACTGGCTTACCCTCTTCAGCAGCCAGTAAAAATGGGGTAACTCCAAAGACTTTTGTAGCAAAGTTGTTCACTGTCCCTAAATTTAATCATGGGAAGGATTTCTGAATCTGTCTTGTTTAACTTTACAAAATGAAGCCACCTACTATTTGTGGGAAATTTGCATTTCTTAATGGAAGTGAAGTAGGAGTCTTCTTTTTCTATCCCCTCGTTTGGCATCCTCCACTTCCTCTTTACTAAATGCCGTATATGAGAGTGTGGGATGCCTATTTCACAGGTGACTTTAGGGATAAAGGACAAGTGAACAGCTTTGGAGAAGGGCTGTTATGTAATTTTAATGAATGGTAAAGAAGGGCTCAGTTGCCAAGGGGAGGATGAGTCGATGGGATATAAAAGTGCTGGAACAGTCTATGGGGTATTCTCTGGTTCTTGCTTATCTGGAGAAATGATGAGGCATTCCTCCAGCAGTACCCGAATCTCTAACAGAGTCAATAAGGGAGGAGGAAGTAGCTACAATTCTTGCTTCTGAAATAGCAAGGAGCCATATTTATTATTGACTGGATTATCAGCATTAAGGAAGCTTTTTTAAGGTTATTTTTATGGCTGATATTTTCAAATAATGCAGCCGGTCACCTTGGAAGAGCTGAGGCCCATGCTGAGGTATGCCCCAGACAGAGGGGGTCCAGTTTTAGTTCATGCCTAGCTTTAAGGACTATGCTGTATGAAAGTATGGGGTCACTTTATTTTTCCATCAAAAATGTACAGATCAGAACCTAATTCAATCATGTGTTTTTCAAAAGTCATATGTATTGCTTAACACTCTTCCTTACCCATAGAAAAAAGGATCTACTGAAATATTCACTTATTATTGTTTCATTTTAAAGATTATTTATTTATTTATTTGACAGAGATCACAAGTAGGCAGAGAGGCAGGCAGAGAGAGAGGAGGAAGCAGGATCCCTGCAGAGCAGAGAACCTGATGCGGGGCTGAATCCCAGGCCCCTGGGATCATGACCTGAGCCTTAGGCAGAGGCTTTAACCACTGAGCCACCCAGGTGTCCCACTTATTATTATTTCATTTTAAGTGAGAAAAAGAAAGGGAGAAGGGAACATGTAATAAAGCCAGAGTGAGGCTTTCAAACACATGAAAGTTTGCATCACAGGCTCTGAAAGGAGCTTGGGATGAATGGATACGCTGTAGGCAGGATGCAAAGGGAGTAGCGTCACACTCTAAGATGAATGGTGTTCATCAGAGGAGCAGCCCTCCACCAAGTCTAGAGAGAAATGTTCTGCTGTGGATCTTCATGAAGGGTATGCTGACGGATGGCCAGCTCCCGCCCTCACATCACACCAGTGGATTCTGCAATACAGCTGTGGGGGTGTGTTTTCATGTCCTTGGGCACAGCTCAGTGGCCTCACGCCAGAACAATGGGGCCCAAGTACCTGTCTCTCCAATGAACTGTCTTGGTTTTTGGATAAAATGTAAGCTCTGTCGAAAGATGAATTTTAGGCAATTCTTCACAAGCATTGTATCTTGCCTTTAAGTTTTTCAATAAGAACTGCATCATAGCCCTAGGAGCTATATTCTAGTAAGATTCTAGGGAGCAGAAGTTCCTCCACACCAAAAGCACACACATTTACTTTGCCAGCCTGCTAGGGTAAGAGCAGGGCTGACAGTCCCTTAGCAAGGCAACACAGCTTCTGTATGAGGGGGATCGGAGGGATGCCATGGTCAAGTCAAAATATTCCATTATTTTTATATTTTTGATGACCAGCTAAGGGAGTATCCAGAAGGAACAAAATGCTTTAACAGATTTGTTACAAATGTTGTTATTCCTGTGTTTTAGATCGTAATGGTGCATTTAGCATGATTTTCACAAAAATAGCCTCAACATTTGGAATTTAAGTTACAGAAGGCATGTGGTAAGCTAAAAATGGTCCCCCCCGCCCCAAATATCCCAAGTCCTAATCCCTGGAACCTGTAAGCCTTACTGTATTTAGAGAAAGGGTCTTGAAGATAGGAACTTACAGATCTTGAAATGGGGAGATTATTCTAGTTTATCCACTTGGGTCCTAAATGCAATCACATGTTTCTTTATAAGAGAGAGTCAAAGGGGAATTGGAGACAAAATAGGAGAAGGCATCACAGAGGGGAGAAGGCAATGTGAAGACCAAAGTAGAGATTGGAGTAATGCATGCACTGTCAAGTAATGCTGTCAGGAGGCAAGGAACAGACTCCCCCTAGAGCCTCTGGAGGAAGCGTGGCTCTGCCAACATCGCAGTTTCAGCCCAGTGAAACCGATTTTGGACGAATGTTCTCCGGAATAAATTTCTGTAGTTTGAGCCATCAAATTTCTGGTAATTTGCAACAGCAGCCAGAGAAAACTAATCCAGATTTTGGTGCTGTAGCAGATTTTATGCTGCTACTATAGCCAGTACTTAAAAATATGGACATGGCTTTGGAATTGGGTAAGGTAGAGAGGCCGGAAGAATTTCGAGACACAAGAGAGCAAAAGCCTGCATTGTCTAAAGCAGACTGTTGGTAGAAATATGGATGTGAAAGCTGCTTCTGGAGAGGGCTCAGAGGAAGTGAGGAACACCATAGAGAAAGCTTTATCGATAATCTTCGAGAATGTACATATCCTTACCAGCAGAATGTTGATAGGCATTTTTGGCGAGAGCTCGGGAGGAAATGAGGAACAGGTCAATGTAACTGGGGAAAAGGCAGTCCTTTTTACAGAGTGGCAGGAAACTTAAATGAATTATATCTTAAGGGCCTGGGCAAAGCAAAACTTGGAAGCAATGAACTTGGATGCTTAACTGAGGAAATTTCCAAGCCATGTGTCCAGGATGCAGCCTGGTTTCTTTTTTGCTGCTTCTAGTAAAATAGGAGAGGAAAGTGATCATTAAGGAAGGAACTCTTAAAGGAAAAAAGAACCAGAACATGATAATTTGGGGAGATTTCTTGGTCTATCCAGATTGCAGAAGAATTAGGAAGTTCATTGTTAGGAAAGTGTACTCCGGAGAGAAGGCCAAGGGCATGCGGGACATCCTTTTCCTGAAGAGAGTAGGTGTGTGACTCTTGGATCTGATCAGCTGTCCAGCAGAAGCCAGGAACAGAGATGGGATTATCCTGGGAGGGTCTTTGCAGGTGCCTCTTGTCAAATGGTGTGAATCCCCACAACAGACAAAAGAGACCCACAAGGCTTTTGAGAATATTATACCAAGAGAAGCATTGCCACCTGAGAGACACAGGGCAAACGGCAAGAAATGCTGGGTTCCCAAAATTCTACAGGCAGGAAACAGATAAAATGAATCACGCTTTCAATAAAAAGAAAAGATATTCCAAGGGCAGAGTCTTGGACCCAGAGGTGAGAGACAAGGACTTCGTGGCCAGAGACAAGAACTCGGTAGCCAGATCCAAGGACCCAGAGGGCAGAGCCTCAAGCCACAGACTTTGAAACCCAAGAATTCACCTGCCTTCATTTTGAAACTGCTTGGAATCAGTGATTCCCTTTTTTTCTTCCAGGAAGAAGAAAAAAGGCAGTTAGAAGAAAGTCACACAGAAAAAGATATTTCCCATTGAGGTCTTCATCCCTTAAAAGTGGGTGGGGGAGGGATGAAGAGGTAAAAACACGGGATTTTTAGGGCAGCGAAACCAGTCTGCATGACGCTATAATGGTAGATACTGTCAGTATGCAGTTGTCCGAACCCACAGAATATCCCACAGCAAGAGTGAACGGACCCTAAGGGGAACTGTGGACTGGGGGTAATTTTGTCGTGTCAGTGTACCTTTGTCATTTGTAACAAATGCGCCACTGTTGTGCAGAATGGTAATCATGGGGGAGGCTGTGTGTGTTGGGGACATACTGAGTAGATGAAAAATCTATGCTTTGTCTCAGTTTTGCCACAGACCTGTAACTGCTTGCTCTTACAAAATAAAATCTTTAAAGAAATTAATATCATGAGAGGACAGTATATTTTAAAGAGCAATACAATCATTTCTGACAGTACATGTCCTGTAGGGCATGTGTTCCTGGCTTGATTTATTTGTTAACCTGCCTGTTGATCAGGTAAAAGGCTCCCATGAGAGGGGCCCCATTATCTTGTGCTGCACACACATTCCCCACACAACATATGCTCCGTGCAGTGTCTACCAGTTGTAAGCATAACAGCAGCCCCTCAAGGTAGTTAAGTACCCTCATCCCCATTTTACGATGAGACACCCAAGGCAGAGGCATCAGTAACTCTCCATAAGTCATACACCTCTCAAGCAGCAGAGACCAGCCTCCAACCCGTCGGTCTGGCTCTGGAGCCCGCGCTCATAGCTACGACGCTATACATATGTTTTCTACCAGCCCTTCAGCACCACTTATGGGCAAGTGAGAGGAAAAGAAAACCTCCTTCTTCAATACTATCTACCTAAAGAAATGATTTTAAGTAACTTTAATAGGGATGTTGCCTGGCCTTTCACTATTGAGTCAAGTCTTCCAGAAGTAGGTGTCAAGGACAGCCGAGCAGTCCTGCTTTCCCGAGCCACCCTGGTGAGGTGAACTTTTGTCGTGTGGAAACTCGGCTCGGTGAACGTCAAAACATAGAAACCATGGCGAGCTTCCATTTGTATAAGGAGTGAATGGATTTACCAGTTTAGAAAGAGCCAAAGTGTCCGTGAAAGTTCATCTCAGAAAATCTGGCTCTATCCCATGGTTCCCAGTGTCCTTGACCTGCACCATCCATTGGAAACCAGGAGACATTTGTTTCACCTTGTGGAATGGCCACGGAGGGAGTGCCATGGGGAGAGGCTTCCTCACCCCCACCAAGACGCTCACCAAGTTGACCTGTTCCATATCCTCTGTTTCTTTTCATGTCATGGTGGTCAGGGACCTAGTGGAGGTGCTTGGACTATTTTCTTAAGGGTCCACATAAGCTTTGGGAGGGGTTACATAACACAGAGTCATGAGTTTCCCCGGTCAGCCAGGCAATCCAAATCAATGTTAGTGTTTAGTGGCTGACAGGTACCACAAACCAGTGGCCTTATGACTCCAGCGAGTTTATCCCCCCACCAACAGGTGCTGTAGACTTCTCATGGCAGACCCCAAGACATTCCAGCTGCCAGCAGTATATTTTCCCCAACTTAAAATACTATTTTCTTCAAGAAGATAGTAATACTGTAATAGCATTGTATGGTGACCCATGGTAGCTACACTTATGATGAGGATAGCATAAGGTATAAGTTGTCGAATTGCTGTGTTGTACATCTGAAACTAATGTAACATTGTGTGTCAACTGTACTTCAATGAAAAAGAAAGTTAAAATATAATGCATGTAGGAACTGTGCATATAGAGGGAAAATGCAGTTTCTTTAACAGAGACTTAGAGCACATCCTTGGTCAGGTTTCTGTTATTAAAAAAAAAAAATTGTTTTCATTTTTACTTCTCTGTTTTCCAAACTTAATTTTTAAAAATCTTAGATAAAACTGTCTCTAGAATCAGAGTGGAGTCTAGGATGTTTTGACAACATTATTTGGTGAATATTAAAAAACTATATTGAATAACATTATGCATCTGAACTTACTGCATTTATGTAACTGCTTCTTCCTAACAGGGAAAAATTGAAGAAGCATTGAGTGCATTCCAAGAACTAGTGCGCAAATACCCTCAGAGTCCACGGGCAAGATACGGAAAGGCACAGGTATCTGAAGTCATTCCTACGTAGAAGATGTTTTTGATGTTCTTGTGTTCTGTGTAATTGGATTTTTTCACTCCAACCATTTGTATTTCTCTTTGTCCTTCTAACTTATAAACAGAGTCAATTTCTCATGCATATGTGTACACTCAAGCAAGAAATACCGTTTTAAGTACGACAGTTAGCTATTGCCATTGTGTCCCGGTGAATCCAGTAGCGTTCTCCTGCTCTCCCTCCATCTGGCTTCTCCCTGGATTTGAAAAGAAAAAAAGAAGAACACTTTTATCCTTGATCTCCCGTCACCGTCATGCCCCATTCTGCCAAGTTTTCACCGTAGGCTCCTCTGAGCTATAAGAACCGCAGTTTTGCAACTAGAGGCTGCAAGTATGCTTAGGAAAGTCTTGAAAATATAAAACGGAGTTATATTACCAGCTCCCCTCTCCCTGTCTCCACTCCCTCATCTCTTTTCTTCCCTGACTTTCCCGTCATCCAGCTCCTCATTCTGTGAAGCTTTTCCTCACCCACCTGTGGTTGCTGCGGTTGGCTGTAAAGCCGCCATGTACCACTTGCTCTTTTAGACCCTGGGATTATCATAATGAGCCCTCTAGGGGTCTCTGCCCTTGTGGATCTTATCAGCCAGCGGGAGGTATTTTAAACGTTACTTTATCAAAACTGAGAGGGAGACAAACCAGAAGAGACTCTTAATCTCAGGGAACAAACTGAGGGTTGATGGGGGATGGGAGGAGGGATGCGGTGGCTGGGTGATGGACACTGGGGAAGGTATGTGCTATGGTGAGTGCTATGAATTGTGTAAGACTGATGATTCCCAGACCTGCACTCCTGAAACAAATAATATATTATATGTTAATAAAAAACAAAGTCACTTCGTCAAAAATTACTTAGAGGAAGCCCCCTATGTGCAGTTCTAGGCGCTGCAGATGCAGCCACCAGCAGAATGTATGGTATTGTCATTGTGGTGACAAAGGCAGCCCAGGAGACAGAACAAGTAAAATATATATGCTCGTCAGTGAGAAGTGCTGAGAACCTGTAAAAAGCAGAGTACCGCCACAGGATGTGTGAGGGAGTTGATATGTGGGCTAGGGTGTTTGGGAGAAGTCTACCGACGAGGTGACATTTGAGCCAGGGCCTGAATAAATAGATATAGAAATATATAGTTAAGGATATTATAACGTATTAAACATAAATAGATTAGATCATCTTATGTAGAATACGTCATAAAGAAAAGGAGAGCATACCTATTAAGATTTTTCTGGCTGTGAGCTGTGAGGCTTGAGGGTGACGGGGCAGACAATGCTTTAGATACACTGATCAGAAAAGGCCTCTCTACTGAGGTGACAAATGGCTGAAGTGTGACAAGGCAGCTGAAGGAGCTATGCAGGCAGAGGGAACAGTGAGGGCAAAGACCTGATACAGGAAGTCCTGTTGGTGTAAGAAACTCAAGATCAGAAAGAAGGGCGTGCTGAGGGAGGGCGAAGTAGGACAAGTGGGGCCAGGGCCTCACAGATGATATTCTCTGTGCCCTGAGAAGCATTGCAGGGTTTCTGCATGGACTTGGCAATCTTGTTTTTTCATGAAGATTGTTTCAGTTCCTCGGTGGGGGATAGATTAAAGGGGCAGCAGTAGAAGCAAAGAAGCATAGGGGACGACTATAGGTGTACTCAGGGAGCACTGGCCTGGACTGTGGCCATGGCTGTGGCGATGGGGAGATGGTGGGGAGGGCTTCCTGTTGGCTTGGGTGTAAGGATCAGAGAAGACAGGACTGGAGTCCTGGGTTTGGGGTTTAGCCAGAGGAGGAGAGAGAGAGCTGGTTGCTCACAGGGAAAACTGGTAGAGGAACAGGTCTAGGGAGGTGAGAAGTCAAGAATTCGCTTTTTGTCCTGTAAAGTTTGTGATGCCTATTGGACAGTCAAGTGGACATGTCAAGGAGACATTGAATTTTATGAAGTCTGGAATTCAGGACAAAAGCCAGGCCTGATACACAATGTGTCTGGCAGTGAAGCTCCCACAGCCCAGCCTGGAGGGGATGAGATTCTCAACCCTACTGGGAAACAAAAGGCACAAAGCTATAGAAATTTTCCAGACGCAGAACCTGACAACACCCTTTGGGGAGGGGTCAGTGCAGTGACTCATATACGGCACTCACATAGGACCTAACGTATCTATGGATAAAACAAACATGTTTTGCTCAGAACTAAAGGTGGCGACCACTTGTTCCAGATCCTCGAATTCTTCTTATCTCCCTATTAAAAACTTATTAGTTAAATTTTATTAATTAAATTTTAATAAATTTAAAAATCATTTATTATTATTATTTTTTTAAATATCTTATTTATTTATTTGACAGATATCACAAGTAGGCAGAGAGACAGAGAGAGAGGGGAAAGCAGGCTCCCTGCAGAGCAGAGAGCCCGATGCGGGGCTCCATCCCAGGACCTTGGGATCATGACCTGAGCTGAAGGCAGAGGCTTTAACCCACTGAGCAACCCAGGTGCCCCTAAATTTTAATAAATTTAGGTTGTGAAAAAGTAACACAAATACATTTCTCCTATCCATGGTACAGGCCAGGGGTAGCAGACAGCAATTATATAATTTTTGTAAGTGAATTTGGTCAGTAATCCTCCAAAATTGCTAAGCTGTGTTGGCCTTAGGCAAGAGTGAATAGTGTTACCAAAAGATCATGCCTGTTCATTTAAGTAATGAGCTTCATTATTAGTATTGGCAGTCATTTGATTAAGAGAACATATTATCTAGGAAGAAAAAAGATTGATGCAAATGTTAACTTAATTGTGACAAAAAGTACTTTGTGCTTTAGAATTTTTCTTTGTATGTGATAGTAATTACGGGGGCCAAAGTCCAAGTAAATGTGGTACTTTCACCCATGGTGATTGCTGGATTTATATCCTTATTTAACTGTAGGAATTTGAGAGCTAGCGCTAAGGCAAAAATTTTTATCTCTTAACTATTATGCTAGAAGGTGTTATTGATATTAATGTTAATGTGGCATAAAGCAAAATTTAGGCATGGTAAATTAAATTTTAAAAGAGTAATTTAAGAGAAATTGTAAATGCACAGAAGTTTTAGAAATCAGAGTTCAAAAGAAGCTGGATTTTATAGGGAGGAAGAAATGATGACTTTTTCATCCTTTGTTTGCACATCACACAATTACACTGGAATATCCCAACAGATTTTTTTTAATACCCCAACAAACTTGTAAAATGTAGCAACATTAAGTTAAATATGATCTATAATTCTGAAGCATCTGAAGCGGACTGATGCTGTCTGATTCCTTGGATCACCGTGAAAATCAATTCTGACCAAATTCCCTGAACATCAGATACAACATCTTAAATCATAAACTCAGTTCACTTTATTATCTTCACAAACCATTAATGCCTCTGAGGCAGAAAATGACACATCTCCTAGGAAGTTTGGATGGTTGAATTAGTTCAAGTCAACAGAAGGCTTTGTGGTGTTAACATCCTGGAACAAACGTTCAGTTTCTGCCCAAATCATTTTATGTACGGGTGCTAAACTGGTAATGATAAATCTATATGATTTTGATTTTCAAAGCCAAGTCTATTACTTTCATTCAAAAGAATTTAAGATGGAGATGTCATTTTTCATACCAAGATTTTCCCAATTCTGGAAGTTGTAAAATGTTTTTACTTCGTTAAAATGAAGAAATTTGAGGTGCGAGGAAGGGAGGAAACAAAGTACATAAATTGTATCATCTTCCTCTCTTTTTAGATTGGGTTTAGTTTGATATTTATTCCAATTTCTGTAAGGAAGGATTACCTTGGTAGACATTTGTCCTTACAGTAACCTTGACCTGACCCTCCAGATCCAGGATCTATTTGGTAGATCCCCAAACCCAGGACTCCAGCTTGAAGAGGGTGAACTATGTGGTCTCAAAAGGGCTGTCTCAGTTCCAAGACTCCATCACTCTCAGACATCATCTATGAATAATAATGTTTTGGAGAGCTAACTCACCATAGCCAAACTCACAAGAAACTGATGCCTGAACAGAAAAGCCAGCATATGAATATACCGAAGGCCAGAGGGGCGGGATGGCCAGTGTGAGTCATTAACCTTGAACTCTCTCTCCTGGCAGATAAGTCTATAATGGAGACAGCCCATTTACAGATATGAAGAGATAGCGGTATCCTCTGAAGCTTTTTTCTATCAAGCAAGGGTAAATTGCCCTTTTTCAATCCAGAGATTTTTGTCTTATCACTTTTCCTTTATTATAAGTCTGTCCACTTCTCTCTTTCACTCCGCTTCAGTCCTAGCCCTCATCATCTTGTGAAACTTACCTGATCAGTCCACATAACAAGTTATTTCTTTGAGGTGTTATTTTCTGACAGGCTCTCTGCAGATATTAATAATTTATGCTGAATCTTAATAGTTTTTGCTTTGGGACCGGGGAGGAATGGCTCATTTTCTTACCATGCCCTCAAATTGTGGAGTTGTGCTTTACTTTGGTTCTTCAGGAAGTTATATATTGACTGCTGCCCACCCTTTATTTTAAACAGCTGAACATGTTACATAGGATATTAGGAGAAAAACATTTTATATGCGACTTCTAGCCTCTAACTGGTATCCTTTTTCCTCAAGTGGTAATCTTCAAATTATAGTTTACTAAATCAGGTGAGATTTTGACTACCATTTTACACATTCCCCTTTTTATCACTATAGCATTTCACTCCCCATTTTCAATCTCCTGCAAAGAATCTTGTTTATTTCACAGAGAAAATAAAAGTATCCAGAGAGAACTTCCATGTGATCCCGCTACAACACTGAGAGCCCACCTCCACCTGTTCCCCTATGCTCTACCTTCCCACCTATTAGCATGGATGAACAGTTCCGGTCCCCTTTCCCATCCTCTCCCACCTGCTGAAGGAAAGCATGCTGATTTTTGTGACTTCTTCTGTATCATCACATTTTCCCTCTCTACTGACTCTTTTGCATCAGCTTCAAAGCATGCTGTTACATTTCCCATTGGTAATGGAAACAAATTCCTCTCCCTGATCTCCACATTCCCCTCCATCTACTGGCCCATTTCTCTGCTTCCTTTTGAGGGTTGTCTGCATCTCCTTCCCTCCTGGTTTCCTCTGGTCCTGCTCCATCCTCTTACGGGTCCCCAGCTGTCCCATATTTCCCAGATGGTCAGGGCCATCAGAGGTGCCACATTGCCCAATCCAGCCAAGATGTTCAACCTGGTGTCCCTTCTAACATGACTGATCACTCCCTCTTGAAACCTTTTGTCCCTTAACCTCCAGAGCACTTTCTTGTGGTTATTTTCTTCTTACCTTACCTTCTTATTTTCTTCTTACCTTTTTGCAGACCCTCTCCTGTCTTTCTGACTTCTTTCCTGGACCCCAAATGCATATATGTACCTTTCTATCCAGCATCTCCACTTGGGTACCTAACGGATATTGAGTTTAATATGTCCAGAACGGAACTCCTGATTCTGAATGCCTACAAACCTGTTATTGCCCTGTCCTCCCATTCTCGGGATGGCAGTTCCCCCTGGGTATCGCTCAAGCCAAAACCCTTGAATTTATCCTTGACCTCCCTCCCTCCCTTTCTGTTGCATTTCTGCCCACCTGCAAACCTGTTGACTCTGACCTTCAAAATGTATCTGTAATCCCCCTACCTCCTACCACCTCATTCCTACCACCGTAGTCCAAACCATCCTCATCCCTGGGTCTGGGGTCCTGCTAGAGCACCATAGCTGGCCGCTGTGCTCGTCCACCGCCCTTTTGGTCTGTTCTCCCTCCCACTACCAGTGTGATCCTCTCCACGTACATCAGATCATGTCAAAAACCCCCGGTGTCGGGGCGCCTGGGTGGCTCAGTGGGTTAAGCATCTGCCTTCAGCACAGGTCATGATCTCAGGGTTCTGGGATCGACCCCCGCATCGGGCTCTCTGCTCAGCGGGGAGCCTGCTTCCCCCCACTCTCTCTGCCTGCCTCTCTGCCTACTTGTAACCTCTCTCTGTCTGTCAAATAAATAAATAAAATCTTAAATTAAAAAAAAAAACAACAACAACCTGGTGTCTTTCCATCTCACATCGTGTAAGTCTAGTGGACTTGGCAATGGCTTACCACGTTTTTCATTACCCGACCACCACTCCTTCGCCAGTCCCCTCCTTGCCCCCCATCCTGCACCAGCCTATCCTCTCCCCCTCACTTCCCCGCCCAGGGCCTCGCTCTTGCTATATTCTCTGCCTTGGAATGTTCTTCCCCCAGAGAGCCTCATGCCTCACTCCCTCTCTTCTTTCAGTCCATTCCTGGTCATCCTGCCTGAACTAACTCTTCCTACCGCCCCACTGTCGGCACTCCTAAGCCTGCTTTGTTTTTGGTCCCCAGCACTCGTGGCTGCCAGACACACAGTACTTTGATTTGTATATCGTCTTTCTCTTCGTAATGAAGCAGAATGAAAAAAGAGCTTTATCTGTTTTGTTTACTTTGCCTGCCATGTAGCTCCCGGATTATAGTTGTTGAGTGAATGTGTGAACCTGCAGACAAACTGCTGAGAAACAGGAAGTCCGGACTGGAGCCCTGTCTTTGAAATATGAATGTGTAACATGATACATATCTCCGTGAACCCAGCATAGATTAATTATTCCTCCTTTTATATTTTTTTCTCATCTGTAGCTTGGTAGCTGACTGGTCTTCATGTTATTGAGATAGCACGTTGCGTCGCTTTTCTCTGTCTGCTTTTTAATCTCTTGATAAAGAGAAGATTTTAATCTGTCTTAAAATGCTTTTCCCACATGTCCAGAAGTTGACTTTACATGTATATTTGGGGTGATTACAAATACAGCCTGTCATGGGACACTTACCCATTGTGGGGACTTCCTCTAGTGTGAAGACGATCTGGCTGAGAAAAGAAGGAGCAACGAGGTGCTGCGTGGGGCCATCGAAACCTACCAGGAGGTGGCCAGCCTGCCTGATGTCCCCACAGACTTGCTGAAGCTGACCTTGAAGCGGCGCTCGGACAGACAGCAGTTTCTGGGTAAGACAGAATAAGAGTTAGTTCAACCCCAAATGCTGTGCTCTGTGCTCTTAGAAGAGCTTAGTTACCTAGGAGGGAACCTGAGTTTCATAACTACTTTCAGATAATTTACATGAATGGGTCCTAGACAGAAATGGTGGTCCTGACCTTAATACTTATAGAGATGTAGATGGTATTTCACCACCTTTCCCCACTACCCTCCTCCCCTCCAATTTTAAAGCTGACATAGATGGGATGCTGGGAGGTTGGATAATTTGCCTAAGGAGTCACAGCTAATAAATTAATGGGTCTGGAATCAAAACTCTTCTTGCTATGCCAAACTCTTTTCTCTCTTAACAATAACAAATCTATTCATGGGTGTTGAGATTATCAGTGGAACAATTTTTCTGTTTTCTGGGTTTTTAAAAAAGATTTCATTTATTTATTTGAGAAGAGATTGAGAGAGCGCACAAGTAGGCAGAGGGGCAGGCAGAGGGAAAGAGAGAAGCAGGCTCCGCCTGAGCAGGGAGCCTGACGTCGGGCTCGATCCCAGGACCCTGGGATCATGACCTGAGCTGAAGGCAGCTGCTTAACTGACTGAGCCACCCAGATGCCCCTGTAGAACAGTTTTTATAAAAGATTAAATATTAGGAGTTCCAGACACTAAAAATTTTGCCTGTAAAGTTTGACTCTAGACCAAGGAAAATGATAGGGAAAAAACCTTTTTAAATCTTGAAGTAAATTTGCCACTGCTTTGCAAAGAGCAGCATAGAACATCCTCCTCTCTGACCCAAGTGCCGGGACCAAAGGCAAGTAAGACTAGCTTGAACCTAACTTCATTATGACCAGGCTTCTGATTCTCTTCCACCTAACTTGTCATCAGGAAACCAGATGGAAGCGTCTAGGCCAGGTGTAACCTCTCAAGCGGGTGCTAGTGGACTGATACGTTACATGAACAGTCATTGATGCCACTAGGAGAGGCTCATCTAAGTGATACCGAAGGCCAACTGACCCTGTTACCAATTTCCTGAGGGATAGGATTAAGAGTACTTGTGTCACTTTGGTAAATGACCTAATATGTCTGATAGGAGTAGAACCCAAGGGATGATTAGAAACTAGAAGAAAGAGTCCATTAAACTTCTATGCAAATGGACTAGTCTAGAAGAAGGAAAACATACAGCACCCACACAGGATGGGAAAGGCAAGGTTGGGACTCAGTGGAGGCAGTCGCCTTGGGCACAAAATTAGTAGCACTGAGCTTTCCTCTTGCCTCAGGCTCCAATATGCCTTGGTTAAACTCTGTTACTTATTCTGTCCTTCAAATTTTGATATTTTGTTCATTGTGGATTTTTTACATTAATTTTGCTTTTTAGAATGTATAAAATCATCACGCCTCTGGATGACTGAATTTTTGACAGCCTCTTAAACTTTGCATTGAGCGCCTCACTTGCCTCTCCTTATTCCTGGCTCTGGGGAAAGAATCTACTAATACATCTAACCCCCTTCTGCAACCATCTTGAATATAGTCTCATTTTCCTCCAAATGAGAATGAGGCAAGTTCCTAAGAGGAGGTTGTATGAGGAAGGGATTATAGGAAGAAGATTTTATTGAAGGTGACAAGGGGGTGAAGTTTACTCCCAGAAGAGCGGGGTTGCATGAGGCAGAGTAAAGGAGACAGGAAGGGCAGCTGGAGGGATGTTTACCCGGACCTTTGCAATGGTTAATAGGGGAAATGTAGGAGCAGAGAAAAAAGTATGAACTAAGTTGGCCAGATGGGGGGGAAGGGAATGTATAGAAAAGTAAAGTCAGATTTGTGAGTGAGGGAATGAGTCACCAAGCTAACCAATCCAAAATTGGCTAGTAATGGGAAGAAGGCCGTGGAATAAGCTGGGTGGTGTTTTATGCCAGGTAGTTGTATATGTTAGCAGGACACACAACAGTATTAACTTATTGATAGTCCTATCATACTCTTGGCTAATAGTTTGTGGGCAGCTGAACCCTTTAGGGGAATTTATCTTATCATGTATACTGGTCTTATTTTGCACATTTTCCCATATTCAATTTATTTTCAACTGTGGTGAGGAGCAATGACAGTTGGCCCCAAAAATTTTAAGTTTCCATCACATAGCCTTAAAACTCGACTGAGGCTGGGGTGTTCATGATTCCTGTTGTGCATAGCATCCTATCATCCACCAGAGGGTCCCATAATACCAGCTGATGTCTTCTTACTCCTCGACTAGGTCATTCATTCATTACCTGGAGGTGAAGACACTTAATTGGAACTAGCATGAGCGATATACCCCAGTGCCTTTTCAAGTTTCACAGAGGGTGCTACACCCAAAATCTGTTAGACTTTTTGTTTTTTCTCTTTTCATAAAATCTTAAAATTAATTGTAATAAACCAAAGATAACCCAGTGAAACAGTTTGTTGGTTTGTTTTTTAACAAGGAATTGATAAAACTTTTCAAAGAGGGCATTTGACATAAGAAGGTAAATGTTGGTGAACTCAGAAAATGATAGTCTCTCCTGTCTCTTGTGCTTTGTGGACTCAATACGAAGATGACCAGGATCTGCTTTTATTTCTGTTGAGTTTTGTTTTTTTTTTTTCCTCTTCCCACCAAATCAGGTCACATGAGAGGCTCCCTGATTACCCTACAGAAGTTAGTTCAGCTGTTTCCTGATGATATGTCTTTAAAGAACGACCTTGGAGTGGGGTATCTCTTGATAGGGGATAATCACAACGCTCAGAAAGTCTATGAAGAGGTAAGCAGAGAGCAGTCTACTGTTCACCACATCCCGTTGTTTTGAGCATGAAGTTTTTGGTTTTTTTTTCAAAGATTTTATTTATTCATTTGACAGAGATCGCGAGTAGGCAGAAAGGCTGGTAGAGAGAGAGGAAGGGAAGCAGGCTCCCTGCTGCACAGAGAGCCCGATGCGGGACTCGATCCCAGGACCCTGGGATCATGACCTGAGCCGAAGGCAGAGGCTTTAACCCACTGAGCTACCCAGGTGCCCCTTGAGCATGAAGTTTTAATGTCACCGGTGAATTGCATTTATTTCACCCAACCTCTCGCTTTCTTCACTTTAAATTCAGTTAAAGAGAATATAAGTATTAGTCTAGTTGACATTCTAAATTTTGTCTCCATCTCTTAAATTTTGCCTTAATCGGAAAATTTTAAATTTTAGTTAATGCCTGGTACCTCAAAACCTTCAACTTATTATTGTGATAGTTTTTTTTTAAATAAATTTTAAAGATTTTATTTTTATTTATTTTAGAGAGAGAGAGAGAAAGAGAGAGAGCTGTGCGCACACGTGCATGCGCATGGAGGGGCAGAGAGGGAGGGGGAAGGACAAGCAGACTTGCTGCTGAGTGCAGAGCCCGATGTGGGGCTCAGTCTCAGGACCCCGAGATCATGACCTGAGCTGAAATCGAGAGTCCACGCTTAACTGACTGAGCCATCCCAACACCCCTATAATTGTAATGGTTATAAAACTTCATATTTATCGGTCCATAAACACCTTTTCTAAGAGTGTGCTTCATGATAGGAAGTAGAACTCAGTTTTTCCATAAATGGAAAAACACCCAACTTTTTCCTTTTTTTCAATGAAAGTCCAGTCTAGAGAGAGACTACGGAGAAGGAGCCTTTCAAGCATGTGGAGTAAATTACTCACGTCTTGGAGGGCAGTAACTCTTTGATCCTCTAGCAGAGATATCTTTGAAAGGATTTGTACTTTAGAAAGGTTATTTTAATAGATAACCTCCAAGTTACAAATAACTATAAATCTAGGAAACTTGTGTTCCTTCCAGTAATGAGAAAATTCATTTGGCATAGAATAAACAGGATACCCAGTGAACTTTGAAGCTAGAGAAAGTTAATGCCTCCATAAAAGAAAGGGGAACACATTTACCTGTTACTCTTTAATTTAGATGTTTTGGTCAGTGGTTTTCAGGCTGGTGTATTTTACATCAAAATGCTACTACTCAGTGATAGCCAGTGTGATTCCTTCTGGTTTAAAAAATGCTGTCACTTCACAGAGGGGTAAGGTTTTCTTTTTTTATTTTATTTTTATGGTTCTGGAGACTTAACTGAAAATCATCAAATTTCAGAACAATTTTCTCTTCATCCTTGTCATAATTTTCATATTTTCTCAGAGAATAGAAGACTTGTGTGTTTTATAGCATGCCCAATATCTACATAAAGTAGATTGATCCTGCAGTGTTGAAAATGTGTACACTTCACTCGTTCCAGGTCATAAAAGAAGTCCAGGTGGGGTGATGTAGTTGCTAATGGCCAAAACCTAACACTTAGTGCCCTGTCTTGCAAAGGTGGTTTAAGGGAAATAATCATGCGTCTCACAATTCAGGATCATATGAATCTAAGAGTTGGCCAACTGTATCAGATACACCCATTATTCTGCCACTTTCTAAAGCCTCAGAGATGAAATTGTAGACTTCCCACCCTCTCTCCTCCTTTCCTTCCTTCCTTCCCTCCCACCCTCCCTCCAAAAAACATGATCAAGTGTTGACTGGATACCAAGCACATTTAAAGTTAGGGCAGGATCTGAAAGCATACTGGGTTCTCCCTCCCACTATGGATTTGTCCTTCCTCAACCTCTCAGAACGTTCCTTGAATATATTTACTATTTTTACCTGATAATAGATCTCGGATATGTGAAATACTTTAATTCATCTTGAAAAATAAAATTTATCTGTTGTCTTTTCTATGTTTGAAATCATAATCTCATCTGACTAAGCATAACAAGATGCAGAAAATCTAAAATAGGGCCCTATTATACATTCAAGTGGGTTTCTTTTTAAGGAGCATGAATTGAAAATATGTGTGGGATCTGCCTTTTATTCCTCCTTCCGCTTCTAATAAGCCATATTTAAGGCATTCTCTGTCCTTAACCGAAGTTTATCCTGATAGGTTTATGTCTCAAAGACCATTTTCAGAAAGCAATTGATACTGTAATTTTCTACTTCCCTTCATGTTGATTTTTACCTTTCATAAATTATAAAAATCATTGGGAGCGCCTGGATGGCTCATTGGTTGAGCATCTGACTCTTGATTTCGGCTCAGATCATGAGCTCAGGTCCTGAGATTGAGCCCTGTGCAGGCTTCTTACTCAGTGGTGAGTCTGCTAGAGATTCTCTCTCTCTCCCTCTCTCTCTGCTCCTCCCAGGCTCGCTCGCTCTCTCTTTCTCTCTCTCTCTCTCTTTATAAATAAATAAATATATATATATATATATATATATATATATATATATTTATATATTCCTGGGACTTTTGTTTGTTTCTTTTGCTGCTTTAAGTTTCAGCAAGACTGTTTTATAGTAATTTGATGTAGATCGCTGACAACTGTGGTTTGGGAGGTGCTCCGTGTCCCCCTTTCCATTTGCAGCAGGACAAGTGACCCAAGCCACCCATGGTCTAGAGTCAAGCATATTTCTGATTTTTCCCTCCATTCACTCCTCACCTATATCCATTCACTTAGTCAACAGGTGTTTTACTGAAACCCACACACAGTAGTTGGGAAATGGTAATTAAGGAAGTAAACATTTGCTGAGCCCTCATGGAGTTTCAGCCTAATACCAATTCACAAATTTCTGTTAATTTTCCCTTCTGCATATCTTTCAAATCCCCTTATTTTTTAACCCCAGTGCTCACGTCTCTTGCCTAAACTAGGGTAGATTTATCCTGTGCAGGCTTGCTGTGCTCCAGCCTTCCTCAACATAAAACACAAATCTGACCATGCCACATGGGGCTTCAACTCCAGTGGTCTTCAGACATGTTCGGCTGCGTACCCTTCCAGTAAAACATGCTCCAGCAAATACCTGCGATATGTATGTTAAGTATATGTTGCGTTTCTTTTAAATACTTTTATATTTCATTTAATGGGGAAAAAAAAAAGAAAGAAAACCTAGTCGCTTAAAAATCCTTATTTTCTTTACTGATTTAAACTTTTTAAAATTCTCTTTTCTGACTACAACATTTAAGAGACGCTTAATACAGATAACAAGGAAAGCAGAAATTAGCGCAATAGCCAGAAATCACTGGCAGCCTCATTCTCATATACAGACTACCATGATAAACATGCGGTATGTGTCCTTCTGGTCTCTTCCATACACAGCACACTTTTCTTTTTCCATTAAATCGGTATGTATTAATCATATCATCACAAGACTTTTATAAATGAATTAAAATTCGTCTAGAACGTAATTTTTAGCAACTGCCAAGCATTGTATCTTAGGGACGTATCATCACTAATAAACCACTATTATCAGATAGATTATTTCTAATTACTTTGTTGTAATAAACAATGCCATGGTGAACATCCTTGTTCATATATCTTTATGCAATTTTTATTAAAATAGAGTCATCACGCAATATTAGTTTCAGATGTACAGCATAGTGATTCAACAACCTGATACTGTATGCTATGCTTACCAAATGTAGCTGCCATCTGTCACCATACAACACTATTACAGTACAATTGGCTATGTTCCCTATGCTGTCCCTTTCATCCGGTGACTTACTCATTCCATAATGGGAACCTTACCTCCCCTCATCTTTGGCCATTTTGCCCATTCCCATAGCTCTGTCCCATGTGGCAACCACCAATCTATTCTGCATCTGTTTCTGCTTTTTTTGTTTGTTTTGCTTTTCAGATTCAACATGGAAGTGAAATCATATGGTATTTGTCTTTTTCTGTCTGACTAATATCACTTGACATCATACTGTCTAGGTCCAGCCATATCATTCTTTCTCATTCTTTTTTATGGCCGAGTAATGTTCCATTGTATATGTATGCCATATCATCTGTATGCATTCCTCTATCAGTGGACGCTTAGACTGCTTCCATGGTTTGGCTACCGTAAAAAGCCTGCAGTAAGCATAAAGGGGCAAATATCTTTTTGGATCAGTGTTTTCATTTTCTTTGGCTTAAATACCCAGTAGTACCCAGCACTAAAACTACTGGATCATGTGGTTTTAAAAAAAAAAAAAAAAAAAAAAAGATATTTTGATAATATTTATCTGTAGTACTTTTTGTGATTATATGATTTTTGGTTTTTTGCTGGCATTGTATCATGCAGAGAGTTTGTACTGGAAGCCGAATTGTCAACTATACCAGTTTTTTGTGGTGGTCTCTGCTGTGTGCTTATATAGATACAGAATCCATATCATATTAATATTAATCTCAATTTGATCTTCTTAGAAATTTTATAGAGCCACTTGTCATATCGAGAGGCTCTGTTGATTACCACTAGGTAATAAAACCCACACATTCATGGTGCATCTATGTGTAAACTGTGAGAAGCACAGGACCTTTTGTGATTTGCCTCCTGCCCCCTTTTTCTGGTCTCATTCCCTTTTGCTGCTCCTTGTCCATTATTTATTTATTTATTTTTAAGGATTTTATTTATTTATTTGACAGAGGAAGAGACAGCAAGAGAGGGAACACAAGCAGAGGGAGTGGAAGAGGGCGAAGCAGCCTTCCCACCGAGCAGGGAGCCCGACGTGGGGCTCGATCCCAGGACCCTGGGATCCAGACCTGAGACAAAGGCAGACGCTTAACAACTGAGCCGCCCAGGCACCCCTGGCCCATTATTTTTTTTTTTTACTCACTTTCTCCTGTGCCCTGAATACCTCCTCCCCCACAGTCCTCCATCTTCCCTTGGCCTGGTGAACTCCTATTTATCCCTAAACCCCTTTCAGACCTTGCGTTTGCCACACCAACCCTAGAGCAAGCCGGGTGCTCCTCCTCTTTACCCCTACTAGCCTTGTGCCCATCGCCGTGGCTGCACTTACCATGTTGTATGACCGCTGTCTGCTTGTGAATCTGCTTCCTCCCATGACTGAGACATCCCTTGAGAAAAGACAGTGTATCTCGCTTATATGTCCAGACCCTAGAAGAGCTCTGTGTATTCTAAAATATCTGGCAAAGGAATACATTTGTTAATTACTTGACAGGGTGATTGTTATCTGTGTAGCTGCAATCATTGCAGTTCAATTCCAGAAGTATTTATTGTGCTCTTGCTCAGCGTCAATCTCGGTAACGGGTGCTTGGAAGGTTAAGAAGAAGCAGGGTCTGTGCTTGCAGAAATCTGGTTAGGAGGAAAGCCCAACGTGCACTCATCCATTCAGTTACTATAGCTTTCTTGATGACCTGCCATGTGCTGGGCACCGTTCTAAGCACTGGGAGATCAGCAGTGAGTGCAATAGACAAAATCCCCGCACAGCTTACATCTTAGTGGGAAAAAATAAAAGATTAATAAGTCAAATGGTGATGAGCACTATGAAGAAGAGGAATCAGGATAAAGAAGTCAAAAGAATGACTAATGCACAAGGGATTGGTTCTGTTCTATAGGGAATGGTTGGGGGTTGGTTCACAAGGATAGTGACCTCTGAGCAAAGACTTCATGAAGGTGAGGGGGTGAGCCATTCTGTTATCTGGGAGAAGAGTATTTGAGGCAAAGGAGTACTGCACATGCAAAGGTCCTGAGGCAGGGTTGCCTTTGACTTGCTGTGCAGCAGCAAGGAATCCAGGGCTCCTCAGGATAGCTGGAAGTGGGGGGGCAGGGCCTTAGGAGAGGAACCCAAAGAGGTAGAGAGGCCCAGCTCAAAGGAGGCCCAGAAGACTGTCCCTAGAACTTGGTCTTTTACTCTGATTGAAATGGAACCCATTTGGGTTCTGAATGGAGGAGGGGTGGGGTCTGACAGAGGACTTAGTGCGCTCATTCAGGGTCCCCTCTGGAGAAAGGGCTACAGGAGAGCCGTTCTGGGGGTGGAGAAGTCTGCGGTTAGGAGGCTTGTGTGAGAACACAGGGGAGAGGTAACCAGGTGGGAACCAGGGGGCAGTGGTGAATATGGTGGCAGGGGCATGATTCTGAATATTTCTGGAAGGGAATGTTGACTGGATTTGTGAATGGATGAGGTACAGGACCACATACAAACTGAAAAATTCTGAAGTATCAGTCGTGCGCACCGTGGACTCTTGGAGGGGAAGGGGTCCGCTCTCCCGAACACTTGGTCGTGTATAAGGAGCCCATGGTGGCTGCCGCTGTCTTGTCCCACTCAGGCTGATGGATGACGAGAAGCTCCAGGATATTCAGGATATCCATCTTTGCATTCACTCATCTCGAATCTTCATCTTTCACTTTTGTTCCATGCATGAGTTTGTCTTTGTGGCTTTATAAGTTGAATGTTTTGATTTCTCACTGCTAATATTTAATTTAAAGGCATTCTGCATAATTTATCTTTAATTATAATAAACGGATATGATAATAAACAGTGATTTGACTTATATTAAATATTTACTTGGGTTTTATCACAGAATATTGGATTTGCTCATCACTTTATATTCGGTCCTTAAAATGATCTGGGCCTTCAAGAAATTATTGTTAAATGAACAGATCATGATAGATGACAAATGCAAATCTAAATTTGCTCTTATTTAAGGCAATGTATAAAGTATACATACAAACAAATATATGATAACCATTCAGAGTTGACTTTATTTTTTTTAAGATTTTATTTATTTATTTGACAAAGAAAGAGATCACGAGTAGGCAGAGGTGGGGGAAACAGCCTCCCTGCTGAGCAGAGAGCCCGATGCAGGGTTCAATCCCAGGACCCTGAGATCAGGACCTGAGCCAAAGGCAGAGGCTTAACCTACTGAGCCACCCAGGTGCCCCCAGAATTGACTTTAAATAGAGCAATTTTAAAGCAGCTTTTTTCCCTGATCACTAACAAAAGGCTGAGGTCATATCAGTTCACAGATGACTTTGCTGATTTGCATTGTTCAATCTGTGCTTCCAATACAAATCTTTTTTTTTAAGATTTTATTTATTTATTTGACAGAGAGAGATCACAAGTAGACGGAGAGGCAGGCAGAGAGAGAGAGAAAGAGGGAAGCAGGCTCCCTGCTGAGCAGAGAGCCCGATGCGGGACTCGATCTCAGGACCCTGAGATCATGACCCAAGCCGAAGGCAGTGGCTTAACCCACTGAGCCACACAGGAGCCCCAATCAGTGCTTTCATAGTCACTGCCTTTTCATTCATTTTTTTCATTCTCGAAAAACTGATGTGTAGATGTGCAAGCATTCTGAGTTGACGAGAAATTTGGGGGCATTTAAACTTAATATGGCAATGAGACAAAACACTGGTGTTTTAAGCTGTGACATCATAATCCACTCCAAGCACAGCAAAGCTAATTAAAATTTGTTTTGACAGCCATTTGTAGAATTTGTAGTCAGTTACAATAGTCTTCTGTTTCCTTTGAGTTTAGGTTCTGAATGTGACACCGAACGACGGCTTTGCTAAAGTACATTATGGCTTTATCCTGAAGGCACAGAACAAAATTGCTGAGAGCATTCCCTATTTAAAGGTAACTATTCCTGCCCTTCCTCTTTTTTTCATCTTCTGATTCCTTCGACTCATCTGGACTCCCTTGATTATGCATTGTTGATTGATCAGCGTGTGCTGCTGAGTCTTCATCTTCAGAATGTGCCCCTCTGACCGTGACATTCATAGGCAATGATTGAGGCTGTTGGCTATAGAAATGCCAACCATATCCGCAGAGATCATGTGGAGAAGACGTTCTGAAGAAATTCCTAAAACTGTATTAGTTTGTATTTAAATGGGAAAGGTAGACCAAAATTACCAATATGATAGTTTAAAATATAGGCAACATATTAAATGTTCCTTTTAGTGTTTAATTCTACATTCGGTCTAGCTTGAACAGAACTCATGACAACCTATATGAAGTATGATAACAAATGTTGCCTTAATAGGTCAAACCCTAAAAAACGTGGTAGCTCAAAATATTCAGATTAAAATATGCTGTCTTGTTTTATCTTCTGTATCTAGTTGTAAATCCTTGAAGATGCACCAGAATCACACGCCTGGTCTAGCTAAGGGCTGTTCAGCAGAACTTTCTGTCACAGTAGGAAGGTCCTTTATTTCTATGCTCCAATATGGTAGCCACTGGCCACATGTGCCTTTTGGCACCTGAAATGTGGCTAATATGACTGAGGAACTGGATTTCTAGCTTTCATTTTATTTCATTTTAATCAAAATAGTGATGTATACCTAGCATCTACCCTATTAGATAGGTAGATGTTGGACTACTTGCGAAATTTTTTTTTTTTTAAGTAGCAGTATACATCACACTTCCATGATCTCTTTTTTTCATATGACTTAAATCAGAGATCTCAAATAGCAGCCCACTGATTGCAAATAGCTTGCATATTTTATTTGGCCAGCAAAGTTCTATTAAAAACAATTTTCATTGCTTGTTTTAGTTAAGAATCTGAGCGTTTTATTTAATCATGGCAATTTCTGATTTCTCTTGAAAGATCACATCTGGCCCATATCCCAGCACAGGAGCAGAGCGATGCTGTCCCCTTGAGGTGGCCTGCACGTCACTGGCATCTCTAAACCTTTACATTCCCTGCCAGGACCTGCTGGACGTGTGGGTTTCTCTGACTGAAAGTGTTCCCCTCATTTCCTCTGACATAATAAGGAACTAATAGTGCTCTCCCTGCTTCAGAGTTGGGGAAACAGAGAGCTGGGTCTATTAGTTAACTTGTCAGTCAAGAGCCCTGATCACAGCTCTCCTCTCGTAAGTGATGCTACTCCTGTTCCTTGCTGCTACTTTCCAACATTATGCAAATAGAGTTTCTCCCCAGTGAAAATATTGGGTTTCTGATGAAGAGACCTGAAAATGCAGATTTTTAGAAAAATGAAGATTTCTTGACATTTAGATTTTTTTTATCTTTGTCCTTCTTTTACTTCTCTGAATTCATTCTCTTGCTTTAGTAGTTTTTCTCACGCTCTATTTTTGTTGTTGTTTTGTTGTTTATATACATCTCAGTTCAGTCTGTATGTGGGAGATGGGGTAGAAATCAGCTAAACATTTTAGCGTTGGATTTGTTTAATAACAACTACATTTGCAAAGAGTCCAGCTGGCTTTAATCCTATTGTAAGTTTTGTAAAAGATTTCATTAAAAGGTGAAGATGCATTTTTTTCGAGTAGAAAGAAATATTATTTTCAGTTGGGTCTCTGTCACTTCAATCATCTTATGAACAACTAAATATTTTACTTCAAGAATAAAAAGCCTCCAGATGACATAATGGTCGGATTTGGAGAGCAAACTAAATGGGTATTTAGCAAACTAAATACCCAGTCACGAAATTCTTTGGGGTTATGAAATAAGATTGGTTCCACGGAGATGATTCACATACTAATTTTCTGGGCTATTACGTTGTTAATTAGTGATAAATGTATTACTGAGTTTAACTTTATCACCTCTTTTTGCATTTGTGTTTTGAAGGTTTACCAGTAACCTAATTGCCAAACTTTAATATCAAGGTGAATTTTTCTGGTCCTTAGATTTTGTATGGTATATAAGATGAAGTAAATCAATGAATTAAAGCTAGTATTTAATTTTTTTCATTAAATACAAATACTGTCCTTTTTACAGGAGGGAATAGAATCTGGAGATCCCGGCACTGATGATGGGAGGTTTTACTTCCACCTGGGGGATGCCATGCAGCGGGTTGGGAACAAAGAGGTAATGAACTTGTGAATTTTTTGTTCTCTTAGTGGACACGGTAGAGTTGGAGATGGTGGGTGGCGGGGGGAGGTAACTCTGGGAGAAATTTATACTCGAAAAAATATTTTGAGCATATACTTCAAAGGTGGTGATTGAAACTATTTAGCTATTTAAAATTTGTTTCAAACAGCCCAACAACTCCTGCAGGCCTGGAGAGAATTTTGGGGATTTTTGAACTTTATAGTTTCTTTAAAGAAACTGGTTGAGTAATAGTAAGAGCAGCCTCTCAATGAGTACATGTGTACGTGTGTGTGTGAGTGTGTGCATGCACACGTGTGGGTATGGGCACAAAAAGAGATAAGCATTGCCCTGAAAAAAATATTTTTAAAATCATGAAATGAAAAGATGTCTCTGAAGTTGCTTAAATATTTTAACAGTATGCCTAGACTTGTTTTTATTTTATTTTTGGAATTTAAAAAGTAGTTATTTTTAGAATGAAGCCTTTATTCAGCTGAGTCCTAAGCACACACTGAACCCAGTGATTAATTATGTAAATTACCTTCTGGTATTTAATACCAAGTTTCAAATGAATACATGTAGCTCTAGTAATAACAGGTACTGACACGAAAAATGTAGAAGCTAAAACAAGTTACATGTTTTCTTTGTAAGTATTGCTGTTTTTTCTGAGCCCCATGTCAGCTTCTTTAAACATAGCATTAGATTATGATGAATCATGACATCATGTACTGAAGTTCCCAAACTGTCAGGATCACCATGTTTGTTGGTGGAGAGTGAAGCCCACCTTTTCTTTTACATCATCCGGGGTCTAGCCTGGGCTGTTCTTACAGTCCTGGATAAAGGGATGAAGTGAGCCACTGAATCTTGGTAACCATGGCATTCCATATATGTTGTAAAGTGCAATCAGCTTACAGGATAAAAATAAAAGATAACACAGCTTTAGGTTTCTAAAATTAATAAGAACATGGAACCATCTGGAAAAGTGAAGGTTCATAAGAGTGGGGTGGAGGGGAGGTTGTGATGGGGTAATTGCCAGCTAGACACACGAACCAGTTTGGGGTAAGAGAGATTTGGGTGATTGACACTGTTTTCTTTATACATTACTGTGCATCTGTGCCTTTCCCCTCTAACCTAGTCAGTGAGCTGGAGTAAAATGAGGCATTAGAAGTAACGAAGGGAAGATAACTCGCTTATTAGCTCTCATTCTTGTATTCCTTTCATTGTTTTAGATACAGATGCCTGGCACAAATGATACAAATGCCTCCTTTGAGTGAGAAGGATAAGAAAGATTTTGCTGTGGTTTCAAACACTGCATAAATGTTCGTGTCTGATTGCTAGAAATGTAATTGTCACTAATTAATGTATCTTTGAACATCTTAGGGTCCAGGGCAGAGACAGATAAAAGAAGTCTGCGATTTATTCTCACATCATAGATGAAAACAGCCCTTACTTCAAGGGCAAGAATCCACTACTAAACATTTGTCAGGGGCTGGGGATTTGAACCTAGGGGACTGTTCTATCAGCTTAATTACCATTCGTGTGCAAAGGACTCACAGTTCTTGAATTTAAAAAACTCACAAGGATTTGTCCTTACAGCAGAACAAAATTAAGCTTTATAGGAGCCCCGTGTCCAGATATTCTCGATCTCGGGTATCAAATCTGTGAATTGACTGTTGTGCTCTGAGTTTGCGAACCGGGAACCAACCGTCCTTCACATGTTCCAATGCATGCAGCTCTGCTCAGACACCAGAAGAGGAGCAAAGCCCCAGCCTCTGTGCTGCAGAGGCGGACAATGAATTGTTTTTGCAGAAGGTTTTCCTAACAGGTTTGTTTCAAATGGACAGCAAGAGGGAGGGAGACCCACCATGATGATCTTACAGCCTTTCAGCTGCAGCTGTGCTTAGGATTTCTAGAACTTGCAAACCCACAGCTCGTCTCCTACTCCAAGTCCAGATTCCCGTGTCTTCTGCCTGCTTAGTGTCCCCATGCGAGAGGACAGCTCACTTGTCTTCCCCTAAACCATGGTTCTTCCTGGGTTCCGTCTCCCCTTCGATGATACTGCCACCTTCTCTCCAGTGAGGTCAGGGCCAGGTTCAGGGAAGTCGGTTTCTTCAGCCTCTGGCTCCTAGCCCACCTGCCTGCCTGCTCACACAGTGTTGCACTTTGTCACCGTCCACCCTCAGGCATGGCTGGATGAGCCTGGCTGTTGTTTCTTGCTTTAGCCTTCTTCCAGACTACTGTGTGTTCAAAATCCCTGCACTGCCAAACACATGTTATTTGTACACAAATACACATAAGGTCGTATTCCAGGGAAAGGCATTCGCAGTCCTCCACGGTCTGGCGGCAGCCGTTGTCACCACACTCATGTGCCCCACCATGGACTGCACTCCAGGCAGGACAGGGTCCAGCTGGGGCCACACCTGACACATAGGTTTTTCTGAGTGGGGATCGTTCTTTGGACATATTATTTCTGTGTAGTGAGTGTGTGTGTGTGGTGTGTGTGTGTAAACCATACCTAGCAGTAATTTGAAGCATAGAAGACAGTAATATTAAACACGTGTAAGAAGAGATCCCCAGGTGATCTTTCTGTTTATTTCATAACCTTGATTAGAGGTCTAAAGGGGAAATAGTAAAGAAAGAATTTTTAGAGGATTCTAACTTAATCATTGATGTTGTAGCAATTTGTATTGTAAGAAAGCGATCTGACTGAATTTTTTTATTGAACTAATTTATTGGGTCCTCTATATGATTGAAGATAATTTCTTAGAATTCCTGATGTATCATTGTCATGGTTTTGTTTCTTTAAAAGTTACATAGCAGGGGCACCTGGGTGGCTGGCTCAGTGGGTTAAAGCCTCTGCCTTCGGCTCAGGTCATGGTCCCAGGGTCCTGGGATTGAGCCCCACATCGGGCTCTCTGCTCAGTGGGGAGTCTGCTTCCCCCTCTCTCTCTGCCTGCCTGTCTGCCTACTTGTGATCTCCCTCTCTGTGTCAAATAAATAAATAAAATCTTTAAAAAAAAAAAAAGTTACATAGCAGAGGGCTACAAAATGAAGGGTCCAGGAGGACTGACTTTGTGTGTGAGGAAAGACCTTGTAGATCATTTAAACACGCCACCGTAGGCTAAGTCACTTGCCCAGGCATCAAGCATGGTGAATATCAGGTCCAGGTCTCCATTCTGACTTCTAACTCCTGAACTAGAGCTAGGAGCCTTGCACTTTGGTTTCTGGTTTGGTTTCCTATAATATTTTTTTTTTGTTTGGTTTCCTATAATATTTTTTTTTGGTTTGGTTTCCTATAATATTTTTTTTGCTGGTTTGGTTTCCTATAATATTTTTTTTTCCCCTCACTTCTGACAATGTGTCTGGTCCATGAAGTGAATTGCTGCTGACTCAAAAATAAGCATTTCAAAAAATCAGCTGTGGAAATTATTATTGTTGTTCACTTTAACCCGGAAAGGTATAGGAAATACAATCCTAAATTTGAATTAGATAGAAATAACTTAAAAAGTCAAATAAATTTCAAAAGTAAAATGTATTTTTTTTTTTAAATTCAGACAGTGATTAGCCATGTTAAGTTTCTGGCTTGTAAAGATACAACTTTATGGCTACAACTAACATGTATTTCAAGCAAAACATATAAGAATGATTAGTAGATATGATCTTGATTTGAGATACTATTGAGAAAGATAAGTAAGAATATCACTTTTGATAGTTTTTTTCTTTTTTAATGATACAAAGATAGGAGGAGAGTGGAGTAAGTAGCCAGAGCCCTGTGCTGTAGTTCAAGATATTTAGCCTTTTTAAGCCTCGGTTTCAACTTTTGTAAAAATGGACATATTTGAGGTTATTAGAGAGAGCAAATGTGATTGCACATGGAAAAGTGAGTAATAAACTAAAAAGTGTTCCTGGAAATAAGAAGTGGTATTGTTATCACACTTGACTTTCTAGTGATGGAAATACTGACCTAAGAATTTTAAGACTTTTAAAAGGTAATATTTTTTATATTTATTTATTTTGTTTAAAGACAGTATTTATTTATTTGAGGGACAGAGATCACAAATAGGCAGAGAGGCAGGCAGAGAGCTAGGGGGAAGCAGGCTCCCTGCCAAGCAGAGAGCCCGATGCGGGGCTCCATCCCAGGATGCTGGGATCATGACCCATGCCAAAGGCAGAGGCTTTAACCCACTGAGCCCCCCGGGCGCCCTTATTTTTTATATTTAAAGTACATCTGGGGGTGCCTGAATGGCTGGATCATTTGGATGTCCAACTCTTCGTTTTAGCTCAGGTCATGATCTTGGGGTTGTGAGATACAGTCCTATGTCAGTGGGGAGTCTGCTTTGAGACAGTCTCCCTCTCCCTCTGCTCCTCCCCTCATTGTGCGTACACACACGCTCGCGCGTGCTCGCTCTCTTTCTCTCTCTCTCTCTGGAATAAACGGATCTTTAACAAAAACAATAAAAATAAAATATATCCAGAGTTTTATGAAGATATTCTTTTGAATATCTTCTTGGTCCACCTGGTATTAAAGGCCTGTGTTTAATTGATCCAAGTGTGTATTTGTAATCACGCTTCAGAAAGCCCTCATTAGCTCAGACTTAGAGTCACGAAGGGATACTGTTAAGCATAGCCCTGGAGCGTCTTCCAACCCGAAAACAACGGAGTGAGCCTGCGCGGCGCAGGAACCTTGCGGGAGAGCCCCTGGGGAGCATATGGTGAGGGTGTCACTGGAAGGAGACATATGGAGCGGCATACTCTCCAGCCAGCTGTCCCTGAAAAGGCTAGTCTTCTTGGAGGCAAGTTGTATCGTGTTCCAATTAGCCTAAAGCCACAAATGTTATCCCTCATGGCAGGAAAAAAACCTGAAAAGGAACAAAAATTCCCCTTTAAAAAGCCTAGTATGGGCTATTGCTATATTTATTGCCAGCTCAGAATGAGATTTCCTTTCTGTCTATTTAACGGAGGATTCATACTCTCTTACCTTGGGGCCGGCTTCTGAAATGCAGATGTGGGAAGAAGGTACATGTGAAAAGAAGTCACTTTTCCTTTTCACAATCTGATTCAGTATTTTGGAAGAAATTATTAAAATCATAATCCTTTCCTTTTACAGGAAACACAAAAGTAGAACTGGAGAAATGAAGGTGAAAAGATAAAACCCATTTTGGTTTCTTAGATTATTTATTCACTTAACAAATGAGTCCTAGACTCTGTGCTGGACACTTGGAGGAGGACCGAAATGAGTGCAGCCTGAGGCCGCATCACAGGAGCATAAACCCTCAGAGGGAAAATAAAAGGCAGACGTGCATTTATAAGGAAACTACGTCATGATCAGAAACCTAATCAAGTAATGGTATTTTCACCAGTATAATCAATTTGGGCATCTGACTAGCAAACTCTTTATTTAAATGTTACCAAAGTGATTCTCAATTTTTTTAATTAATAGAACTGCTTCCTGTGTCCATGGTTCAATCCTTCTGTTCTTTCAGGCATATAAGTGGTATGAGCTTGGGCACAAGAGGGGCCATTTTGCATCTGTATGGCAGCGCTCTCTCTACAACGTGCATGGACTGAAAGCCCAGCCCTGGTGGACCCCAAAAGAAACAGGCTACACAGAATTAGTGAAGGTGAGTGCTGACTTAGACTTGATTCTCATGAATCATGTGTTTCCTACTCAAAGTCAGAGAATGCTTACCACAAAGAGGAGTGTCAGGGAGGAGATAGATTTTACATCCAGTGACATTTTCAAAAAGATTGCAGAAAGAATCTTTTCATCCCATTAGCCAAAAGCTCAGTTTAGATGGTGAAGAAAGGAATTTTTCTTGAAGAGCTGTTCTCAAACATTTTGACTTTAGGACCCCTTTACACTTTAAAAATTATTATAGAGTGCCCCAAGGAGTCTATGTGTTGGGGAGGGGGCTAAATCTATCAATATAATTATCAGAAATTGAAACTAAAAGTAATATTTATGAATTCTTTAAAAATAACAAAAATATCATTGCATGTTAATATAAATAACTTAAACAATAACTTTAAGGGTGCCTGGGTGGCTCAGTCTGTTAGGCATCCAGCTCTTGGTTTCACCTTGGGCCATAATCTTGGGGGTCGTGAGATTGAGCCCCATGTTGGTTTTGGTGCTCAGCAGGGAGTCTGCTGGAGACTCTCTCTCTCCCTCTGCCCCTCCCCCTGCTTGTTCTCTCTCTGAAATAAATAAATAAATCTTACAAGTTAAAAAATAACTTGATTTTCAAAACAAAAAGATGTATTAAGAAGAGTAGAATCGTTTTATATTTTTACAAATCTCTTTGATGCCTGGCTTAATACAGGATAAGAGGATTCTTCTATCTACTTTCCGTATACATCCATTAACATGGTGGTTGTGTCATATGTCAGGTAGCATCTGGAAAATTCCATTGTACACCATGAAATATTGGGTATGAAAAGGGCAAATAACATCTTTATATTATTGAGGAAATAGTTTTGATCTTGCAGAACCCCTAAAAGCATCTAGGAATCCACTAGGTATCCCTGGACCACATTTTGAGAACGACTACTTCTGACTGGATAGGGGAAAAAAAAAAACCGGCAAATACTTTTAGAACATGTTGTAGCAGATCTATAGGATAGAGAAACTGAGTGATTCTGACAACTTAATGGAAAAACAAACAAACAAAAATGCAAGAGAAAAATTGGAAGCATTTATTTTGGTAAATTAAATCCAAATGGTAAGAACATCTGCTTGGTAATTTGGTAGTGGCTGGTCAGAAGTTTATGATTGCTTTGGTAAGCTCTTTCTTCTTGTTAGATGTATTAATAAAATGGGAGGTAAATTAACTCATAGGGGTTTTTTTGTGTGTGTTTTTTTAAATTATTTTTATTAACATATAATGTATTATTTGCCCCGGGGTACAGGTCTGTGAGTCGTCAGGCTTACACACTTCATTGCACTCACCATAGCACATACCCTCCCCAATGTCCATAACCCCAGCCACTCTATCCCTCCCACCCCCACCTCTCCAGCTCAAACCCTCAGTTTGTTTTGTGAGATTAAGAGTTTCATGGGATGCCTGGGTGGCTCAATCGGTTAAGCCACTGCCTTTGGCTCAGGTCATGATCTGGGATCAAGTCCTGCATCGAGCTCCTTGCTAGGCAGGGAGCCTGCTTCTCTCTCTACCTCTGCCTGCCACTCTACCTGCTTGTGCCCATGCTCGCTCTCTCGCTCTCTCTCTGACAAATAAATAAACAAATAAATAAAATCTTTAAAAAAAAAAAGAGTCTCTTATGGTTTGACTCCCTCCCAATCCCATCTTGTTTCATTTTTTCCTTCCCAACCCCCCACAACCCCCCACCCCGCCTCTCAAATTCCTCATATCAGAGAGATCATAGGATAATTGTCTTTCTCTGATTGACTTACTTCACTAAGCATGATGCCCTCTAGTTCCATCTACGTCATTGAAAATGGCAAGATTTCATTTCTTTTGATGGCTGCATAGTATTCCATTGTATATATATACCACATCTTCTTTATCCATTTGTCTATTGATGGACATCTAGGTTCTTTCCATAGTTTGGCTATTGTGGACATTGCTGCTATAAACATCCAGGTGCATGTCCTCCTTCGGATCACTACATTTGTATCTGTAGGGTAAACACCAAGTTTAACTCATAGTTTTAATAAAAATGTCGAAGATGTCATCCGCCTTATAGGTTAGATGGGCCTCAGTGATCCAGCTTGAGGTTCTAACTGCCATATAGACGTTGTTCGTATATAAGAAAACACATTCTCATGTTCAGACTGCTGGTTTTACATCTCCAGGATGTGTTTTCCAACACCACCAAGTGGTTCTCCAATTCTCAGGGGACACTGGCTGAGTGCCCTACAAATTTAACTCAATTCTGAACACTATCTGAAGGTGGCATTAGGTTGCACAGGTTAAGGGCTCAGTCTCACAAGACTGCCCCCATTTCAGACACCCATTGCAGGTTCAGGTTGTCCCCTGTGCTTCTGATGGGCTGTGCATTGGGAGGTTCCCACAACCCCCTCCTTGGGTTTGATTACTTTGCCAGAGTGGCTCACAGAACTCAGAAACGTTTACTTTCTGAGTTTTTGTGTTTCTGAGTTACTGTGATGGATGCTATAAAAGGTACAGATGAACAGCCAGATAAAGAGGTACACAGGAGGGGCGCCCGGGTGGCTCAGTGGGTTAAAGCCTCTGCCTTCAGCTCAGGTCATGATCTCAAGGTCCTGGGATTGAGCCCCGCATCAGGCTCTCTGCTCAGCGGGGAGCCTGCTTCCCCCTCTCTCTCTGCCTGCCTCTCTGCCTACTTGTGATCTCTGTCTGTCAAATAAATAAATAAAATATTTAAAAAGAAAAAAAAAAAAGAGGTACACAGGATAAGACCCAGAAGGATCTGAGTGCAGGAACTTCTGTCCCTATGGAACGGAATATTATCTTCTCTTGGTGTGTGTATACTTTTATCAACACAGAAGCTCATCAGATCTTGTTCAAGTTTTTGGAGAGTTTAATAAGCGGTACCTGTTTCCCCTTCTCAGTGGCTGGTGGGTGGAGCTGAAAGATCTAACCTTCCAATCATTTGGTCTTTCTGGTGACCAGCCCCATCCTGAGGCTATCTAGGGGCCCCTGTTCTAAGTCACCTCATTAACACAAACTCAGTTGAGCTCAAAAAGGATACCTTCAAATGACAAAGACACTCGTGTTATTCAGGAAATTCCAAGATTTTTAGGAGCTCTGTGCCAGGAATCTGGGAAAAAGATCAAATATATGTCCTATTATACCACAGGTCACCCCCTAGTTTCTGTTTTCATTTTTGTTTTTGTCGTGCATGCCTTATAATAAGATCATAACAGTTAATAGATATTGGCATGTTACTAGCCTTCCATTCAGTTACTAATAATTAGTCTAGTCTATCATCTTACCATTTGAAAGTAGCTCCCAGGGCAAGGCCGCTCAAGCTGGCAGCCCTCTGTTAGATCTGCTCCAATTCCAAAACTACAAGTGGACCTAGAAATACATGGCTTCACCTTTTCATGCATCTGGTATAATCAAGCTAAGGGACAGTATCATCTCTTGCCCTGAGCCTCTTTTGAGGTGTTGAGATAATATCGGATTTCCTACTATTACAAAATCCATTCATTCCCTTTCTCCCAGCTACTATTCCTCCTTCTCTCCATTTAAATGCTCAATATGTTTCCACTTTCCGAAAGGACATGATGTTTGACCACTGTGCTGTCTAGTCTGTGGGCAGCAGTCCTAGTATACCCAACACCTACCCTGCCCATGCAAGTAGGGTAAAGTACAGTACGTAGGGTCAGAGCTAAGAGGCCTATTCTTACCACTGTCAGTGTAGCTACTACATTCACTTACCCCAGAGAGATGAGAAAGGAAGAACAAGAGTAACAAAATATTGACAATTTTGGAATCTGGGGGATAGATACATGGAAGTTAATACTGTTCCCGCTACTTTTAAGTGTTTTACATTTTTCAATTATTTTATTTATTTATTTATTTTGCTAAAGAACATCTTGAATAAAGTATATCTATAAGAAGACTTCACCGAAGAATTTTTTTCTACTTGAGGAAAGAAAGTTTCAAAGTACCTACTTTAAATAGGTCTTACTTGACCATACTTACTCTATTTCATTGTAAAAGCACACTATAATCATCATAATCCAATTGTAAAGTAGGCTGCTGTCAGTTAGACTTTATTTTATAAGTCAGAAAACCATCGTGTGGTGACCATGAATGCAGATCGATTTAAAGAGGTTCTATGTCCAAAGCAGAATTAGTACAGGAAAAACGTTTTCCTGGATAAATGTCCTATAGTTAGCACTGTCAGAAGTTCTTTCCATTTTAAAATTTCACCCCTTCTCAGACTGTATCACACTGAGTTCTTCTGATTCTCTTGCTAACATCTAATCTTCTCCTGGTCTCTCTGTGAGTTTATTTTCCTACTGTGGCTTTTCAGATGCTTTCAGTTTCAAGTAACAGAAATGCAACTGGAATGTGGCTTAAGCAACAAGGAATTTGGTTGACGTTTGTGAAGGAAGCCTAGCGTAGCAGTAGGGCAGATTTCAGGGGTTGTGCACCCAGGAGGAAGGTTTTCTTGCCTCTGTACTTCCTCCCTGGTCAGCTCTGTCCTTGCACTTAAGTCAAGATGGCTGCCAGCAGCCCCTGGAATGGAGGGTTAGAAAGTGTTTGAGAGCTTCATAACATTGTTGAGCCACCACACTAGGCCTGAATGGTCTCCTCGAAACCTCTTAGGAGACCTTGTCCTGGTGATCATAACCATGTCACATGGGCACTAACAATTACAAAAGAGTTGTAATACTGTAATACTGAGAAATTAAGTAGCTAGCTACAGGCTGGGGCAGCAGGCTTCCAGCAGGAGAGTGTTACCTCTCCATCAACCGGGGAATAAAAATCTTTTTTCCTTCAATCTGATTGAGCCAATTAAGTTACATTTCCATTCTGGGTGGGCTGTGAGATTATCTTTAAGCCAATAGATCAACTCCTGGAGCCAGGGAAAGGTCAGATTTCTCCAAGTCCAATGGATAACCTGAGAGGAAGTAAACACCTGAACTAAATCAGGGTTCTTTAGGAAGGAG